TATTTATGTTTATTATAGAATAAAGCTCTCCAGTGTACCAAGTTATTGTCATGCAATAATAATTATGGTATTAAATTTACGAAAATTGTTTTATTAAATGCGTTTTGAGAGAGAGTCGAAGTATTTATAGGTATCAATATATAGAAAATATCTCTATTAGGTACATTTTTATTTTACATGATATCAAACAAATTTAACCTTCATTAGCGCGTGCGTGTTACATCCAATAAATTTGTTCTTAAATCTGGTTTTAAATGCCGTTGATCCGTTGAGCCATTAATAAAATTTTTGAAAAATTGTATCTTACACAATCGTGTGTGATTACGTTCAATCTCTGCGATATCTTATAGTTGTAACATTTAATTGCCGGAACACTTTCGTTCATACCTGCTACTGAACATTTATCGTCGACAAAATAACAGGTGATGCTGCATCAGAAAAGATATGAATTCCTTAATTACACGATCAGAAAAGGATTCAGTGCGTGTAAGCAAGGATAAAGATGGAGTTAACGAACTGATAAAAAATACCTCCAGGTTGCTTCATAAATCGCAATCACGCCGGCTGTCAGCAGAATTTCGCGATAATTTAACAAACGATTCAGAGCTCGATGAATAACCGTGCGGCGGCGCAGCCGCCCATTCGCGAACAGTTTAAAAAAGAGAACAGAATCGGAAGGTAACTTTCAAAGAGGCTCGCAGAAAGTCATCAAACGTGAAAATATTAACTCGGGCTTGGAAAACATTGCCAGCGATAAATTGCCACCGTTATGTTAATCAGAAGACACGGTAGTGTCTTATTAACATGATTGATATTGGCACACATTCCTTTGTACAATATAAATTTCTGACATGAGAGGCAATTTTTTTTAATTTTGATACAATTGAAAAATTGTTTACTTTTCCCGAAAGAATTTTAGCGTTCCTTGAGATACTTTTTAACAAGAATTTTGTAAAAAATTGGGAGTTGAAGATATGTGGAATGAGAATTTCAATTTTTGATTTAGTCGATAATAAACCTTTTTATCAAGATTAATTGGAATTGTCGTATTCTACGATAGAACTTATTAAGGTTAATATTTAAGACTTAAAAAATTCCATATTTAAAAGAACTTTAAGATCTCAGAAAATTAAGAGTGTTTCAAATGACAAGCAATTTAATAATTTGATGCTCAGGCATTCTATTTA